CCAGCACTACCTTTGACGACATTCGAATTGCTAATAAATAAAAGGATGCGTTTTCCGATTGTAATGTAGACGCACGCAACCTTCCGGTTTCGCATGATGCGTTTTGAAAGGATGCGTTTAAAACGCATAGTGTATTCAGGCACTAAGGCTGCTGTCAAGCTACTAAGCTCCTACTTGACAGAACGAAGTTAGTACGTGATGTATCGGTCTGTGGCTTCCCATGCGCTTCCAAATAGGTACGGAGTCCCCGGGAGTCCCACAAGGTTCAGTACAGGACCCATACTATTTCTAATGTATGTCAACACGAAACAGTTACCTACTTAGAAGTATGGTGCAAGTACAAAAATCTGCCAACGACTGGTTCACAGCTAATAGACTAAGTCTCAACGGATCAAAAACTAAAAATCTAGTTTTTTCTCTAAAACATAAATATAACTTGCTCTGTGATCGTGATATTTGGTACAACGATTATTAACGAGCTCCTAGTGAGTTTATAATTTTGTGGTGTCTGTCCGTCCGTTAGCACGATAACTCATAAACGAATGGACCGATTAGGATGAAATTTTGTAGGTGGATTCTTTATCAAATTTATTTTATTTTTGGGAGTGCAAACGACGAATTGACAAATTGACCTGGAGTAAACACACTACGAACGTGAAGGAAAAAATCTCGAAAGCGACATACCTTTTAAGAACGCTATCAAAAACTGTATCCAAAAAGGTACTCATGGCTGCTTATTTTGGCAAAATACATAGTATACTTTCCTATAATACGATATGTTGGGGACATTCTGCCACCTTTAATGATGTATTTAGAATTCAGAGGCGGGTAGTGCGTGTAATTGGATTAAAATATCGAGAGGATTGTAAGAGCGCATTTATCAACCTAAATATCTTCACATTACCATCAATTTACATATATCAGTGCATACTCTATGTTCATAACAACTTGAGTCTATACAACAAATAAAAATAACCAGCTGCATTGCTGCACTAGCCAAAAAAATAGCATAGTGATTCCTGCTTTAAGATTAAATAAAACAAGGACTGGTGTAAATCATATTGGTATTAAATTGTACAACGCTCTGCCCTAACACATGAAAGAACTAGACTGCACAAATTCATTTAGTAAATGTTTAAAGAAGCACCTAATAAGCCAGGCATTTTACAATATAAACGACTTTTTACATTATAAGTTTAACTGTCTTTAAATGTGTAATATAATAGTCTTTATATCCTGTATATATTAACCGACTTGCGTAAAACAGTTTTGTTATTAGCGCTAACAAATTATTATTATTAAATTATTATTATTATTATTTAAAAACCCAATTGTGGAACAGTTTTTCAATCGGACCAGAAACGTTATGCGTATCATAACATCGCAGCGCTACTTCGGGTAAGGTAGCAAAGTGCAAATGCGAATAAAAGGATTCAACAGAAAACCATGGTTGCCAAATTGACAGAGCAGCTTCCTAGTTCAAAGCAAATATTTCACAAAAAAACCGTTTTTGACAGTCTTACATCCTTTATGCCTAATATACAAATACCGACAAATGCACTGCCAAAAGTCATATTAATTTGTAGGTGCTGTTTTATGTTTTATTACTAAACACTAAATTGTTTAAATTCCCACAGGAAAATTTTTGTTGACCTCTTACAGAATTCAATGTAATTTGGATGTTATATCTTAAACGATTATTAATTACGTTTAATTTTTTATTGGGACATAAACGAAAATTGCTTTGTTTTGGATTCCTTCTACTGTTGCGTTTTTTCTTAACACATGACTCAACGCATTTTCCTTACGCGATCTTGATGCATTTTACGTCAAGCATGCGAAAATGGTTTAACGATCTTTTATAAAGTGCGCAAAGCCCTAAGGTCCCTAGCACACACAACTACTTGTTGGCGCTTCTCGTGGCGACCACACGTGGTTATACACGACCACAAGTGGTTGACACAGGTGGTCGCCACCGTGGCTCAATTCTACCGTACATACAACGAGTGGGCGACTTCTGCGACAACCAGCGAGACTCGGCTGCTGCCGTAACGTGTGGCTCGAATAAGCTACACCGAACGCTGTGTTTGCGCTGGATCCATTAAAACTGCATATAAACTACGGTCCATAGCGTGTGGCGACCACCAGTGGCGACGACAAGTAGTTGTGTGTGCGAGGGCCCTGAATCGCATCCTTTTCCTTGTCTCGTTTTTTAAGAAAAAATTCTGCAATTGTTTCCCTTAGAACAGTAACGGCCATAGCACGTTAAAAACAGCGTCGGTTCCGGTCAGTACTTGGATGGGTGATCGCTTGGGACACCTCTCTCTTTTTTTTTTAATTTTTGCTCATGTTTGTCTATTGCTTTTATTTTTTTATTTTAATGTCACAAGGCAACATATAATAATAAAAGGTGGACATTTTGGTCAGATAGAATTGAACGCTTGATTCCATCTCAAATCTGTCAAATATAATATAATTATTTTCTGAGTTATCAGGATTTGTTGGGTAGTACCTAAAAAGAAGCAGTATTTTCTGGTTGTGATTGAGGTAGTAGCATTTTGCTTCTTACCCATATTTTTGGGATTTTCGGAATTTTAGGTACTACCCAACAAATCCTGTTAACTCAGAAAATAATTATATTATTTTACAGTGTCATGGAATCAAGCGTTCAATTCTATCTGACTAAAATGTCCACCTTTTCTCTTTTTCCAAAATTCCTTGTGATACGGAAAAAAGGACGTCCTTGATTGATAGGACGTATATTTGGGAAATTAGTAACTTGGTACCTGATTTATAGGCAACTCACATAACATGTGATTTTTGAAAATATTCGAAACTGTTTATTTACAAGGAAGCTCAAAATTAACAAATATACACGGTGTTTTTTTAAGATAGGCTAGACGACAATGTAAAGGCGTTGACTTATTTAAAATAGGCCATAGGGAAATTTACATTGCATTGATTGTTTCAGTCATAGCTTCCTAGTGAATCATCTGCCACAGTACTGTAGAAATTGGTTCTAAATCAACAAATTTATTCAAATGAGATATAAACGTCAGAAATTAAATTCGGGGCTCGAATTGTTTTCCACCGGCAACCAAACAATACCCGATACTCGGCACTGATTGCTCGCATACCACTACACTACACTGCGCTCACTCTTGTACACTACATGAACACCTTTTCGAGCGGCGGAATACATGTTGCTGCTTCGTTGATGCAGTTTGAAGAATCAGATCGAGAACTGTCAGTGAAATAACTAAGCGCAAGGTCAAGATTTGAGAACAATTGGCGCAATGGAAATTTCCCCATGGCCCATTTTAAATAACTCAACGCCTTTACATCAATCTACAATCTTTAAAAAAAACACCCTGTATGAATTTGTTAAATTAATTGAACGTCTTATTTTGATGTGTTAAGTGCTAATTTTTTCTCGAAAATTATTCGAATAGCAAATATTCAGTTTATATAAACGTAAACACCCGTGAGACTGCACGAGTACACATAAAGAGAGAGGTCCTACAACACATTGCACCCGACAAAAATTATACCGAAAGTCCGAAACTCATATAAAGATTATAGTAATTCAACATTACAAAAAACACCATAAAAACCGTTCGTTGAAAAACGTGTCTCGATTAAAAAATACGGTTTCGTGAGTTCATAGTTTCTGAAAAACTACCGATTTGTCTAGACCTACTAATCTTTTTGCTCAAAGTTAAACTTGCTGAAAATTGTATTTAAAGGCACGATAAATCAAGGGCGCTTGAACTTCAAACCACCCCTACATTTGCGACTCTAACAAGACATTAAAAAATTACACGGATTTAACGTTTTGGCTTCATTATAAGTTACGCCAATTTCTCATCGAGCATACTCGCCATCAAACCCTTGTCCTAGAAACTACCGTTGTAATCCTTCGAAATGATGCCACACGGCTTCATCATTAAGTGCGGGTTTTTGTAATCAATAAGCCATACAAATGCTATTTACAGATTTGTAATTGGTTGAAATCTAAATTTTTTAATGTCGAATCGAATTACTTTTCGATTTTGGAGGTGAATCCGTCGTTATTTCATCTGTTATTGTCAAATACAGACTGCACGGATAATATTGTTTACTAACAAGCATTTCCCCTTTGCTTCATACGCATGATCACTCAAAGGGTAAATTAATAGAAACATTTTATTATTAAAGCTGGCTCATGTTCCCGAACCGCTAATTATAAATGAATACCTGTCACTAGCGCGTTATATCATTATTAAGTGATAATTAACGTTAACACGGCAACGAAATTTTTGTTTCATTGTTACAGTCGCGATGGGATATTAAAGCGGGTAGGTAATTCCGAATCAAATAAAGTGAGTTGAGATAAATTTAAAGCCGAAATCTTTCATACATAAACTTTTTGCTGTTTGCTCGATCTCAAAAGTTCGAGACGAGGAAGGTTTTTATGTTCACTCATTGAATTGATTCCACTTTTTTAAAACAGTATAAACCGCGATTCTAGTACTAAAGCGGGCCTTTGAGGTAGCAAATTTCAATACCAAATCATAAAAGTCGAAACTCTACAAAACTTATTTAGATTTTTATAGGTATTCGATCGAATCTTATCGTCCCCTCTGGAAGTATACAAATGTAATTAGGTACCTTGGAGCGCTTTTGGCTGTAAGGGTCATGAAAGGATTAGAAGTCTGTATAGTAAAGGTGTACAACAGATATTTTCAATGCTTTCGAGGTCATTTGTATGTAAAACTGTTATTACAGGCTAAATTCAATTAATTAATGTGTTTAATTATAGCGCAAAATAGAGTCAGTTTTAGGTATTCCTAGTTAAACTTTTATTTGCGCAATTTGAAATTTAATAGCTCGTGAAAAGGTTAACTTATCTCTTTGAGTGCGTTCTTAAAACAACATTGCTTTTGAAGTTTTATGTCAGTCACAAAGGATGTTGAACAAACTAAAAGTAATAATAATAAAGCCGATTATCTGGTACTTACCAGCTTTGCAAGGATCTAAATCTACATCTTCTGAAATCCTGGTAGGAAAGTTTATTGTTAAAAGTTGTTCTATTGTAAACTTTGAAAATGGCTTAGTCCTATCTAAAGACACACTTTTATGAGTGGACACTAATCTCTGCAACAGTTGGACACACAAAAACACAACTACGATCTTGTATAACATGATCAGGTAAGTTGAAAGAAATGAAACTTTTTAAGCACAGCTATTTCTCATAAAAATTTCGCATTAGGTACACCTCGGCACTGGAGTTTTCTAACAAAATTGCGGTTAGGTAATTAACGAGTACACTCTTGAAAGAAATTACATTATCAGCAATGTTTGTCCGTTTACTCCAAAGATCACTGTGTTATATCGTGTTTTGGTTGCATTTCTCGGCTTGAGGACGTTATACTAACTACATATCTGAAAATAAAATTGAAACATATAAATAATGATAAACGAATCTACTTTCCCTATCAAATTTGCGAAACTTTTTCAAACTTCGCATACAATAATTGCGAAAAAATGACTCTGAACTGCCACTAAAAAATCCGATAATAAAATGTACTTACAATTAAAAAAAAATCCGTTCAGTCTTTTAAGTTTTGACCTATGATTTGATACACAGCCGCGTGCTCTTGTCAGTTTGTCGAAGATAAGCGCGCCCCAAACCAACACTAAAACTACTAGCTCCGCGTGGGGCTCGGCGTGCGGCTCGCGCCCTCGAAAGGGGTGGGTGTATTTCATTTTCATATTCTATCTAGCACACTACTAACTACAATGAGTAGGGCACACGCCCTATTAAAAATTCCTATACTACAAACTGTTACAAAAGTCAATAATGAAACCAATTACGTGTGCTCGTAAAATTTATTTTATGGATTTAACTATCCATTAACGGTATACGGAAATGTTTGAGTACACAATAAAACTAAATCGGAGTATTGCTACAGTATGCAACGCGCCAGATAATAATTGGGGTATCTTTTACACCTGTCGCGATAAAATTTATCGATTATTTTCCCATAGAACATTCAAGCCTAGTATAGGAATTCTTAACGTTCCTACGCGAGTGACTATGATCACTTCTGAAATTGTCAGTTTTGAGAAATTATTTATTTGTTGTCTAGAAGGAGGAAATAGCGCGCAAATGGTTGAGAAAAATGTATTTAAAAAAAGTTTGTGACACAAGAAGCAGTGTAAATGTTGATTCTATATCCTTTCCATAACCATTCCGTAAATTATTACTCGTGCGCTAATACACATTCGCCTTCATATGTGAACGGAAAGAAGAATGTGTATTAGCGTGCGGCTAAATGTCTTACGCACATATCACTTAAAGGTCAATTTCCTACGTATAATAATTTACGGAATGGTTATGGAAAGAATATGGTATGGAAACGTTATGTATAGTGAGAATCAGCCTTTAGTAACCCAAACATATTTTTCGGCATACAGCGTGTTCCATAAGGCCATGTCGACAGATTTTTAAATTAAAAGCCCTACACAGTACCAAAGACTTGTAGGAGAATGGTCTTTGACAGTACACATGTTTATATTTAGCTTCCTAGTTTGAGCTAGGTGACTATTGCGATCACCGTTTTTTGGACATGTTAAAATTTCACCAAATGTCGACGTTTTAGATCATTTTAAGAAACTTTTAAAGAATAAAATTTTTTCCGTATGTGCGTATGTTCGTACGTGCGCACGTTGGCAATTTTCCGAAGTAACGGCTCGACGGATTTTGTTCAAATTTTGGATATGTATATTAGACATACTGAAACGAAAAATAACAAGCTGGATTTTTGAAAAAAAAATTTGGAGCGCCGTAACGGCATCCAACTTTTTTTTTCAAATAGCAACCTAACATTTTTTTAAGCTATTCGAAAGACCTTATTTTCTGTGTACAACCTACAAATATTGTGCCAGGTTTGATTACAAAAAAACAGAAAAAAAATGTGTAAGTTAAAACACTAAAATATTTTTTTCGGTAAGACTAAATTAATTCTAATTAGGAATTACAATTATTATTAATAAAATCTAAAATAAATAGACAAACATGAGAAAAATTAAAAAAAAAGAGATACAACGGCATGCGGTCACCCATCCGAGTACTAACCGTGCCCTAGATTGCAATAAACTTCGTATTTAGAAAAGAATGTAAAAATGACCTATTATCGCGATCTAATTAGAATTTTTTTTTAAGTTAAATTCTAATTAGAATTATTAATTTAAGGGGTAAACTACTAAGTATAACAATAGAATTGAATAAACAAAAATAAATACGGTTTAAGGTGGTTAGGCGATTAGGTTAGTGAACTTTCGAACAATTGTGCCCTAAAAATGACAGATTATTGTCTGAACAATGGTCTAATATTAAATAGCGCTAAAACAAACCTCATGTCATATTCGTTTCAAACGCCAAATTACAGTCTGTTAGTTAGAATTGACTCGAGGAGCATCCAACAAAGTCACACCCAAAAATTTTTAGGTGTATTTATTGACAGTGACCTTACTTGGAAATCGCATATTAATTACGTTTGTAACAACATTTCTAAACAATGTTATGTGCTATGGCGATTACGACACTCTGTAAACCTTACAGTATTGCTGAACTACTATTACGCACATGTCCACGCATTTCTAGCTTACGGAATGGTTTTATGGGGAAACAGTCCGAAAATAGTTAATATTTTAAAAATACAAAAGCGTATGGAAAGGGCTACGTGTGGAAAGCCCCCCACTTATTCTTGTAGAAATTTGTTCAAATACAATTCCCTCTATCTACATTTTACAGTGTGTTATTTATGTATACAAACACGAAATGGACTTCATAAAAAGTAAACACATTTCGCAATACAATTTAAGGCACGGTGAAACTCTTCATTTACCAATCCACAAAAATTCTTTATCAACCAGAAGCTCTTACGTAATGCCTATAAGGTTATACAATAAACTACCAGCATCGGTAAAAACATTACGACCATTATCACACTTTAAAAATGCTGTTACCAAATTATTAATAGATAATAGCTATTATTCTGTCGCTGAGTACCTGGAAAATAACTCGGAAAATAATGTTCACTAGTTAGTCATTTTACACTGTGTTTCTTGTTAAGTTTGTTTTCATATGTATACGTATAGTATTAGTTTTATACAAAATAGTGTAACAAATTTATATGTTCAGTGTAAATGCATTGATTTGAATTGACTTATCCCATAGCATTTATGAGCTCAGAGGATTAATAAAGTATTATTATTATAATAGTTACATACGATAGTTTTGATGCAAGCATTTTTGCAGTTTCAGGAATGATTTACGGGGGTATAACTGGATACATGAGACGAATATTGGGGTGTAGCCGAGGGCATATAGGGTCATTTCTTTTGGACTACCAGTTCCGGTAAAGTGTAGAGCAACTTAATTTTTAACGCATTTTCCAAAGAAGTTGGGTGCGCTATTGCAGCCACTTGCTCTGCCCGTCCGTCTGTCCGAGGCCTTAACTACTCCTACAGTTTTCAAGATATTAAGTTCGTTTTTTTTTGCACTCGGTAGCGTATAGATCTAGTACCTGAGCCCAGGAAAATCTTGACAATTAAACTGCGCATGCACAGACTGCGCAATGTCAACTTCCTTATTTATTAATATATTTTGTTGTAATTTTAACCACAGATACTTCTGATAAAGGCAAATATATAACATGTAGTAAAAATCAGACGTGCGCAACCGTAGACGGCGCAATGGCAACTTTCTTATTTATGGAAATATTTCTTTGAAATTTTAACCAAAGTTGCTTTTAGTGTACGCAAACGAATCGCATATTGTAAACATCAGATTAATGCGCGCATCATGCAGGATGCGCAATATCAACTGTTATTTATCGAGACTTCTTTTTGAAATTTTAATCACAGATGCTTCTATTAAAGGCAAATATAACTGATATTGCGATGTGCGCATGCGCAGTCAGCGCCAACTTATTTATCAAGATATTTCTTTGAAATTTTAACCATAGATGCTTCTAGTAAAGAAAAACATCTCACATGCAGTAAAAATCTAAAACTACAAATGTCATTAAGAAAAGTAAACATATCGCACATAGTAAAAATCAAAATCACGCATGCGCAGACTGCAGAATGCCAACTTTTTTACTTATGAAAATATCTCTCTAATGTTTAACCATAAACGCTTCTAGTAAAAACAATCATAATAATAATAATAATACGATTTATTGCCCAACAGAATAAAATCATCGCATACCTATAGCGTAAATTAAATGTGCTCATGCGCGAACTGTGCCACGCCAACTTTTTTGTTTATGGAGATTCTTTGAAATTTTAACCATATATGCCTCTAGTAAAAAAATCACAGCGCACATAGCTATGGCCTTTTGGGAAGTAGTACTGATCATTCATGGAAAATGCGCTGAAGTTACTCGCCTTAGGGCGAAAACCTTTTTACTTGTTTCAAATAGAATCCTTGAACCTACCTCTCAGAACACCTGGGGAAGTAATTGTACAGAATAGAGGAAGTTATGAGAAAGTTCTGGAAAGTACAGGGAAGTTCGGGGAAGTACTGGAAGTCCCGGGAAGTACGAGGAAGTATATGGGAAGTAAAGAGGAAGTACGTACTCATTTGTTTATAAGATGCGAAATGTGGTAGAACGTGACCGGAGAGGTAACATCTGGTAAACACTTGAAAAGTAATAAGGCAGTTATTTCTGAGTGCATAAATCTCGCCTCGTTCCAAAAAAGTCAACACCTATGATTGTGATTATCTACAGTGATATTCATCTAGAAATAGACAGCGATTTCCTATGTCTATTTTTACATGATAAAAAGTCTCTTGAAAGACGCCTAATTTTATGCAACCAAAATAACTTCTTGAAACAAATAAAGATCTGGCTGTCATATTAATTATTAATTTGAATATTAGTTGCTTTAGCTTCACAGAAAATAAATCTGTTAAGCTCCTTTAAGTGTTATCGGCACTATACCAATTGGAAATATCAACTTTTGCTTTACTTGAATACATCGCACACGAACCGAAATTAGAATAGGGAAGTCAAAGCGATAATATTCAAATTAATTAATATGACAGGCAGATCTTCATTTGTTGTAGGTAGTTATTTTGGTTGCATAAAATTAGACCTCTTTCAGGAGACTTTTTATCATGTAAAAGTAGACATAGGAAATTCCTATAGGAAATCCCTATGTCTACTTCTACATGAATATCACTGTATATAGATACCTAAAATTAAAAAAAAACTATTTTTTTCTGTGACGGGAAAAACGTTTGACATTTTATCTTTGTTAACAGGTAAAAAATGTCACTTTTTATTAAATGATTATGAGTACTTTTTCGCGGACCTCACATATACACATAAGTAAAGATATTCAATTTTTGTGACGCTACTTTCACTGCGTCTACTAACTCAGATGAAGTGAGAGAAAATTCATAATCAGACATTGTTAACTTTATAACGGGCGATCAAGAATGAGTGACTGTCGAGTCGCCTTTGAAAGTTCAAGTTAAGTAGGATTTCCCATGTAAACAAAAATTCCAAAAGTGACTAGACGGTCACTCATTTTTGATCGCTATGTATCATTCAATATAACTACTGATTACTAAACAATCATTGATCAAATGACAAAACTGAATTGACAGATATTTGAGTGAAGTTTCCTTAGCAACGCAGTTCGTATTGTCGCGAGAAAAACAACACACTATCTGCAGCTTAAAACTTCAAATTTCGATTATTCGATACGACTCATTTACAACTTCAATATATCGTTTTCCCCGTCACAGAAAAAATAGTGTATTATACAC